GTAACAGCTAGAAGGAAGCGTTTCCGACCCTATAAAGTATATATATTCTTGATCAGGGTCACTAGCCGAGTCGATATAGCCATGTCCGTCTGTCCGTCTGTCCGTCTGTCTGTCCGTATGAACGCTGAGATCTCGAAAACTATAAAAGCTAGAAGATTGGCATTTTGCATGTAGATTTGAGGAGTTCCTACGCAGCGCAAGTTTGTTTCAAAATGGTGCCACGCCCCCTCTGACGCCCACAATCGCTTATATACGATTTTAAAAATTTAAATATTTCGGAAAAGTAAAAATGCAGTTTTATTGTGTTTATCAATACCTATCGAAATGTAGAAGAAATTTTTCAAATCGGACCATTCGTTAAAAAGTTATGCGTGATCAAAGTTTCTATCTCCATCTCCCTCGCACTCCCTTTACCTGAGTAACGGGTATCTGATAGTCGGGGCACCCGACTATAGCGTTCTCTCTTGTTATAAGTATTTTAAGCCATAACATTTGAAAACTATAATTTATTTGTAATTTTTCCTTATTATGAGATAAAAAATAGTAGACTCACATTTGTAAAAATTTTATTTTTTTAATATTAAATGGAGTTTTGCAGTTGACTTAAAAGTAGCCAAGTGGGCAGCCCACACACACTCGCACACGGAGTACAACGGCGCTGTGGCAACCCTAAACACGTGCTGGCTGCAAATATTGAGGACTACATGTAGTCGGGGCTCCAGCTCCATGGTACAACAATACGGATGAGCGAACTTAAGCACGCAGCTTTGTGTATTGAACATGTCATCGGCAAAATTTGTGTCAAAAACCCGACCGCAAATACCGGTCCTGGATAGACGGAGGTTGGAGAGGGGGAGAGGGACCTGTACAGGTGCCTCCGTTGCAACCATTGTTGTGTGTGGCGGCCAATGCCGTTTTCACAATATTTTCAGTTATGCTGTAGCCCTTCTACAGCTTCCTTTCACCACACCCCCCCCTTCACCACACGGCCTGCCACTTTGGCATCCCCCTTTCGCCGCCCCTGACACGGACTTGGGTTCGGACTTGGCCTGCTGCTATACATCAATTTAACAAGCAAGCATGCACCTGGGAAATTAGCCGGCAATAGTGGTATTTTTCGGACAACGCCAGCCCGAAAGCTTATGACACGTACATACGGAACGAATTGGCCCGCTGAAAGGAACCTCTCACATTTTCCAGGCATTTTCTTTGCATCTCGTGCACTCTAACGTCTGGCTAAGGTTTTTTTATGTGAAATATTCGCACATACTCCAATCTATTTAGTCGATGGGTTGACTTTAGGGTGCTATCAGTTTAGGTATTCCCAAATTGGGCTGTCTGCTTATGCTAAATATCATATTATTGAAACGAGGTGCAAGATAAAATATTTTTGGTATACCCTTGGCATAACTATTACCACATATACAACTTTTAACAGTATAGAAAAACATGTTATTTTCTTAAAAATGGCCGATGTTACAAAGTAAAGTTTGAACTTTTTTACTTACCAATGTCAGTTAATATGTTTTCAAAGTGATGTACGAATTTAATTGATATATATAATATAATTAATTATATTTATGATAGCTTATCTTCTCAACTTCAACTTATATAAATGGCTTTATAATGACATCAGACTGTTGGTAATGGTGAATGTAATCAGGCAAATATTTATAGTTCCTTTCAATAAATCAAACCTTGGCTTTCGCTTGAGAAACTATTAAGCTTAAACCCATCCCCGATGCAGATGTCAAGGCAATCAGGACCGCCGTCATGAAGCCCCCAAGGCAGCTGCAATCGAGTGGCGTCAACAACAGCTACCTGTCCGCGGTCCTTGGCAACAACAACTTTGCCACACGCACAGACGTCAGAGCGCGGATTGTGTACCGACTCCATATGTATATATGGATATGCCGTATATACAATGCTTTGTTCACCCACGATTAGTTGACGTTGGCGCACACACTGTTTCCGCGCCATTTGCTGTCACTTCGCCAGTTTGCACATCGTCAAACGGCGACGACATCGCTGCCAAGTCCGCTCATGCACCACCGGAGCTGTATTTTTGCCCAGTTTTTTCCTCCGCTTTTTTTCCTTCGAGGGTGCGACATGTCCTTCCTCCGGCTAATGGTAACTGGAAATGGCTGGGCGCCAATTCTGTTTGCTTTTACTTTTCATAAGACAACAATTTCGGGCTCACTGCAATTTTCCGTGCTATTGGCCCTGATCAAGTTGATGAGTTGCGTTGCTCAGCGCCCGACTCCTGGCCTAAAACTTTGTGGCTACCCATTCGCACGTTTCCATGGCAGATGTCTGCCGTGCATCAAGGTGGTTTTGGCCAAGTTCCACCCTGAAAATTCCTGTCCTGTTTCCCGTTTTTAAAAGCGACAAAGCATAAAATTCGGATTTTTGTATTTTGACTTTAATGCTTACTTATTTTTATGAAAATATAAATTTTATTTTTTTTTAGAATCTGTAAAAATAACTTGTTAACCATTCCTAATAAAAAGTAATACAGTAATAAGTAGTATAAGAAGAAATTATTTTAATGCACAAAAGTATGCTATTCCTAAAATTGAAAGTTTTCAATATTGAAGATTAATTAATTTAATATATAAATAAATAATAATTTAATATACAAATAATATTCAAAAAACGTTTTTTTAAGATCTTATTTAATTGTATTAGCTGTAATTTAAACGTGATATAAATAGACATTGTTAAATTTGTTTAAATTTTCTGTAATAAATAATCAACACAAAAAAATGGAAACTTTTCTTTCTGTTCAGTCTAATTCTGGCCAGAACTCTGGCTCCAGTTCGCCGTCGATTGGGTCAAACGACAATTGCACTGGCTTCTACTTCTATGCCTGTTCTGGTGTTCTGGGCTCTTGGCCAAACTCCATAGTTCGGTCCGTGGCAATCGCGCTGATTGTGCAATGCAATTTGGTCGACGACTTTGTCTCGCCTTGGTCCGGCAATTGAATTGCCCAAATTAGCTCTCGAGTGGACCGCAGGAGAAGAATAGTTGCAAACTGCTTCCGATGCTGTTTAAATTGCAGCCTCTTTAAGAGGGAATAGAGAAATTATGGGGGAGGCACACTCGGAAATGGGTTAATACCATTCGCATCTGGCACAATTGTGCACATATAATGGAGCTTGCGCTTTGAGGTCGCTACCAATTGTGTTGCTTGATTATGGCCAGATAAATGGAGAACTTCCCACAGGCCCAAAAACATGGAGCTAACTACTTACACGCACTCTTTAACTCAAGTATTATTTAAAATCACTAGCTTAATCCTTAAAGACTCTGCATTATACACTTTAAATTTGGAAAATTTACCCCAAACATTTAATAACTTGAACTAAACGTATTTATTGGTTTTTCTGATAGTTCAATTATTTGTGAAATTTTTAAATTGAATAGAAAATAAATAATTGAGATTATTTAAATATTTGTGAAATGTTTAAAGTAAATTAAAAATAAAGACCTTTTCAAGAGAAATTGACATCCGACTGGTGTCAGAGCCTTAATTGATTTTAATTGTTCTTCAGTTTCTTAACAGAATCTTAAGCACGATACTTTTAACAGCATATTGCCATCTCCCCAGGACGAACGAGTCCGTGTCCACGCCTCTCGGAAAGTTCACTTGTAATGTATTTAAATGAGAGACAAGCCCATAACCAGCGCCATTTTCCTGCTGGCCCACACGTTGTGAGTGCAAAAGTTTTGCTATTATTAAGGGCCTCATTGTCGGTTTTGTTGGACCCTTGGCGACTGTCCGCCGCCACATTCCCCCACTATTCCACACACGAATATGCGACCGTAGTTGGGGAAATCCCCACATTTCCCACTTTCCCCACTGTCCCGGCCCCAAACCACACAATAAAGAACAATATATTTCACACAACTTTGTTCATATTTTTAATGTCAGGAGTATAATAATTACGTTCATTGACTTTGTTAAGTAGCCTACTTTATGCTAATGTGATTTCATTGCATAAAATAAAAATGGCCAAATGGTTAGGGTGGCAGGAGCTTTGCATAGAATATTTTTACATAATTGAATGTGCAGGCTCTTTAAGTGACACTTGCTGGTGAAGTTTAAGTATTTATGCCTCATTATTTACTCAAAATGTCACTATTCGTTGGTGAGAAATTCCACTTAAACTGTTTGGAAACTGAATTGATTAGTGTTATATGAATGAAATGATTAATGTTCGTTGAAAAGTCACTATATGAATATAATTCTGTGATAACCAGATAATATTCATTTTAATTAAAATAAAATTTGATGAAAGCCATACTTTTAGCTTGGGTAAATAAATACTTCAAATAATTAATTAAATAATTTTTCGCCATTGTCATTTAAAAACAGAAAGCCTTCTTTTTAAATAAATAATCAATAAAAAATAATAAACAGATCATTTAACAGGGACTTATTAATGATAATTAATAAGGCATAATTAAGAAAGTGATAATTACACCTGCAATTATTTGAAATATTTTTTTAAACCTCAGTTTTAAATAGCTGTTTAAAAGCCAACCGCAGAAACACAATATCGTAACTGACATAAAAGCGACCCGCTTATTAGTACTTACTAGAGGACTGTAAAAGCCTCAATTAAATTAAAAAGAATTACGTAAACAGGGAAGGAAAATGGGACTGCACGTAATATTTGTGTATAAATGCGTCATGCAGTGAGGAAAACAACAAACCGAAATATGCAGACTGTATCGATTTCGGTAACTATTTCTGTATTTTTGTACGCTGCATCGCTAATACGCCGTGTTCTGCGGGCTTTATTTTGTGCTCAATCCATCGATTTCGCTCGACGACTGCAATGTCAATATCAAAGGCACTACGCAACAAGGTTGCGGAAGCCTTAGCAGTTCGCTGCCGGAGAACTGCTGAATTTTTGCTGCGCGGCTAATTGAATTTGCAGGGGCGACAGGTGCCACAATGCCAGGTATAAATGCCGGATTGCCAATGAGCGCTAATTAATAGCCAAGCGAACCACGCAACGCGGCGTATCCCGACACACTCGAGCGCGAAACGTTAAAGTCATTTTCATTACTTCCGACGAAACTTCCGAACAAACAGCCTCAAAATGGTGGTCAACTTCAAGGTGTTTAAGAAGTGCTCCCCGAACAACATGATCACGCTCTACATGAACAGGCGTGACTTTGTGGATTCCGTCACGCAAGTGGAGCCAATTGGTAGGTATACTGCAAACTCTGCAAACTGTACAGCTTTAAAGGGAAAACCATATCTATTACACAACTTCCATTACGGAATAAAAAGGTCAATACACTAGACTATGAAAAAAGTGTATACAAAATAGTTTCTTCTGTTTACAAACAGAGACCGAAAACAAATTTATTTTATTTTAAAGCATTTCCATTCATAAACGAACTCTGTCTGCAAAGTGTATAAAATTCAACTAAAATTAAAAAAATATAAAACCCTATTCACTCTTGGCCACAAAGTGTACAAAATCAGAAAAAACAAAACTGTGTATAAATCCCAGTTGTCTGTAAAAATTAAAGCCTTATATAAAGATTCGGTCCCTTGTCAAAACATTTTACAATTCAGTCTTAATTTATTTCTATGCTTACTATTTTGAAAAAATTTGTGTGGTGCATTACATTAAAAGATTTAACAGTATGTTTAAAAATATTCCATTAATGTAAATGTAAAGACTTCTAAGATCAAAAAACAAAACATTTTATAAACATCAAACTAAGATGATAAAAATCTAAATTAATTTGCAATCGACCGGAACTATCAACTCCCCATGGACCTAATTAAATTTAGATGTAATTTATGCAAGCCAAGTCGGCTGCATTAACAGCAAAGCAAGCTTATTAGATACGTGACCAGGCAAACCATGTGGCTGGGCCATCGTTTCCGTAATCTCCGATTAATTAGTGTCCTATTGCAGATGGAATCGTGGTGCTGGACGATGATTATGTGCGCCAGAACCGCAAAATCTTCGTGCAACTGGTCTGCAATTTCCGCTATGGACGCGAGGACGACGAGATGATCGGGCTCAGGTTCCAGAAGGAGCTCACCCTGGTCTCGCAGCAGGTGTGTCCGCCCCAGAAGCAGGACATCCAGTTGACCAAGATGCAGGAGCGCCTGCTGAAGAAGCTGGGCTCCAATGCCTATCCCTTCGTGATGCAGATGCCGCCCAGTTCGCCGGCATCGGTGGTGCTCCAGCAGAAGGCCAGCGATGAGAGCCAGCCCTGCGGAGTGCAGTACTTCGTGAAGATCTTCACCGGGGACAGTGACTGCGATCGCTCGCATCGTCGCAGCACCATCAACTTGGGCATCCGCAAGGTGCAGTACGCACCCACCAAGGAGGGCATCCAGCCCTGCACCGTGGTGCGCAAGGACTTCCTCCTGTCGCCCGGGGAACTCGAACTGGAGGTCACCCTGGACAAGCAGCTGTACCACCACGGCGAGAAGATCTCGGTGAACATCTGCGTGCGCAACAACTCCAACAAGGTGGTCAAGAAGGTCAAGGCCATGGTGCAGCAGGGTGTCGATGTGGTGCTCTTCCAGAACGGTCAGTTCCGCAACACGATCGCCTTCATGGAGACTAGCGAGGGCTGTCCCCTGAATCCGGGCTCCAGTCTCCAGAAGGTCATGTACCTGGTGCCCACTCTGGTGGCCAATTGCGACCGCGCGGGCATCGCCGTCGAGGGCGATATCAAGCGCAAGGAAACGGCTCTGGCCTCAACCACACTGTGAGTAAACAAACCCAAAAATAGAGTATTTATTTAATTTCACAAAAATATTTTTGGTTTTCTATAATATTTATAATTAAAAGTGTCTAATACAGAGCACGTTATTTTGAGCTGGTGGTTTTCAAAAAGAAACCTCTAATTCTTTTGGGTTATGTACTAACATGAAGAGACGTTTTTTTGCTAAATAGTCATTTAATAAACATAAAAATCATAATATTTAATAATGTATTCCACAACAATCACAATTTATTTATATTTTATGCAACAATGTTTTAATACATTTTTAAAATATTATTAGTAATAGTTTCTAAGGCATATCTATTCTATCTATCTATCCATTAACCAAAATATTTATATAAGTTTTAAGAAAACAAATTTATATCTTAAATAAATTATAATATTCTATTTTAGCATTGCCAGTCAGGATGCCAGGGATGCTTTCGGCATAATTGTCTCCTATGCTGTGAAGGTCAAGCTCTTTTTGGGCGCCTTGGGCGGCGAGCTCTGCGCTGAGCTGCCCTTCATCCTGATGCACCCGAAGGTAGAATAACTTTATGGAAAACATTGATTTAAATAATTAAAAGCCATCACTCTTGCAGCCCAGCCGCAAGGCCCAACTGGAAGCTGAGGGCTCCATCGAGGCCTAAACAGAAATGGCTACCTCAACTAATGACAAAAATGGCGTATTTCTACATGTCTAACCGATGTCTGTGGATCTTAAAAAATGCTGATGTTGCTGAAATGTTCTGAACTGCAGTCGTCGTACTTTTCCTATATAGCAAATCCAATATTCATATATGTGTGTATGTGTATTATATTTATAACTCAACAAACAATTAAATATGAAAAAAGTTTATGTACATGAGGTTATTGAATGGTAAGGAAAGAAGTAGATAAGTTTGATTGGAATAAGGTAAGTTTGTCGTTAAAATAAGATTTTTAAATCTGCAATCTGACTTTAATTCTATCAAGGAATGAACTAAATACTCTTTATTGCCTTACTTAGAATGCACACATGCCAAACATTTGATAATTCACATTCAGATAGCATTTCATTTGTACTACTATCTTGCAACGTCTGTTCATTATGTATTTATTGAAGTACAATGAGGAAATCAACAGAAGCCAATGCATTCTATTGAAATACTGATAGTGCATCTTGGTTTTGCGGCTTAGTAATTCCAACTATTGCTACTCTAAAAAGCAGAGGAGCAACCTAATTAATTCTTAGTAAAGATAATAGAGTAAGTTTACTGAGCTGAAGCTTAGTCAAGATATAATTTGATATGATATAAGTAAATTTAATGTGCATTTTGAAAGTGTTTTGTAGATTGGATCTCCGATCTGCCATTTCCATTTATTTTTGTCGAGTTTAAAGCAGCAACATTCATTTTGGGTAAGTTTACATCCAAATGATTTGTGGCACTTTCAATTACCAACAAAGATTTATGGTTACACATCTGCCTAATTTTCCTGCAGTCACAGTACATTTTGTGGTCAAAATACAGTTTGAAAAGTAGCGTTGGGGAACAAGCCAGTATTTTTGGCAAGGCAGGTGGTTGATTAGTCAAAATGTTTCTGCATAATGCCTTTAATCGAAATTCAACTAGGCAGATTAAATTATCGTCTCACAGAGCGTCTGGCAATAAAATTGCATTCCAAATAAACACATCGCCACTTAACCGATAAGATGGCGAGACTCAAGGCAGAAATAGTTGACCGCAATTATAGTTTAATCAAGTAGCTTTGAGTGCTTATATTAGACGATTCGGAAAGAACTCTATAAAACTCTGATTTTGATAATAATAATAAATAAAATCTGTAAATAAAATTTACTAGCTTAAAAAATTATTTTTAAGGGGTTTTACTAATCCAATCCAAATTATTTTGATTACAAATTTAAAAGTCAAAAGAAAATAAATACAATACAAAATACAAATACAAAATAATATTATATCTGATGATTTAGAGTTCTTAAAAACCTAATAATCTGATTATGCTGGTAACCTTAAGTACTTTTTACTTATATTGGTTACCAAGTGGTTTTGGTAGTTAGTACCAGGCGATAATAGGTAACGACTAGCGTTAATCTGGCTGGTAAAGCAATACCCACAAGAAGTTCGGTGCAGTAGTCTGCATTTATCAAGGTCTTTCGTTGGCCCATACATACATATTAATTCCAGTCAGTTATCAGTGGAGCAGGCAAGCTAATTATTACAGTGCTGATTAGCCCCCGCTTTATTTACTAGTGGATAATCTATTAAGTGGTGCATGAATAAAAATACTAGTTCGATTTCTCCGCTGACCAGTCGCTTGGAAGTCTTTGTTTCGCCTGAACATGTGTTGCAGCTGCTGTGGAGTGACCCAACAAAAGGTCTGGGTCTTTGGTTTTGGAACCCTTTTCGCGGTCTCAGGACTCTTGGCCATAATATGCTGGCCCGGTTTTATAGACACGCAGATTATGAAGGTGAGTGGGAGAGGGTTGAATAAAATAAATGAGGAGTACTAAACGATTTATTTGAAGGCCCTGCCATTGACGCCCACTTCAAAGACCTTTGAGAAATGGGAGGAGCTGCCCATTCCCGTGTATGTCTACATGTACCTCTGGAACTGGACAAATGCCGCCGATGTGCAGGCTTATAAGGTGAAACCTAGTTTCGAGCAACTGGGGCCCTATGTCTATCGCGAGGAGAGGAAGAAAATGGATCTGGAGTGGCACGATAATGGCACGGTGACCTTTAACCCCAGGAGAACTTGGTTCTGGGAGGAGGAGCTGTCCGGCGGCAAGCAAACCGATTTAATTACTGCCCCCCATTTACCTTCGCTGGTGGGTGAAAAGCAGTTTCTCTATGGAATTTTTTATATTGATTAGCAATTTGCTGTTTATTTTTTGTAGGCCGCTTCCAGCCAAATGCGAGATAGCAACGCCTTTTTGAAGTTCATGTTCAACCAGGCTCTGAATGCGAATGGAGGACATCTTTTTGTGACCCACACGGCAGCCGAGTGGCTTTTCGACAGCTTCTACGATGAGTTCCTGCACTACGCCATGACCCTGAACAATCCCCTGGCCCCGGAAATCGAGTCGGATCACTTTGCCTGGTTCCTCAATCGCAATGGATCCAAGGACTTCGAAGGACCCTTCACCGTTCACACGGGAGTGGGTGACATTAAGGAAATGGGCGAAATAAAGTTCTGGAAGGGCCAGAATCACACGGGCTGGTACGAGGGTGAGTGTGGACGACTCAATGGCAGCACCACCGATCTATTCGTACCCGACGAACCCAAGGAGAAGGCCCTGACCATCTTCATTCCCGACACCTGTCGTATTATAAATCTGGAGTTTACGGGAGAGAGTGAAACGATCCAGGGCATCACGGGCTGGAAGTACGAAATAACACGGAGCACCTTCGATAATGGCCAGTTCGATGAAAATGCAAAGTGCTGGTGTCCGTTGGATAGGCAACCCGATAATTGTCCTGCCAGCGGAGCCACCGATCTAGGACCTTGTGCCGAAGGAGTTCCCATGTACCTGTCTGCCGATCATTTCATGTACGCGGACGAGAGCTATGGCAACACGATCAACGGTTATAAACCCGATTATGATCAAAATAACTTTTATATCATAATGGAGCGGAAGATGGGCGTTCCTCTGAAGGTCAATGCCAATGTGATGATCACCTTGTTAATACAGGCAGATGGCGTTATTGAGTAAGTGATTGTGTATAATGTATGAATACATTTATAACATACTTACATTCATTTTCAATAGCATACTAAAGGACCTTCCCACTTTCTATGCACCACTCTTCACCACCGCCAGTCGAGCAGAAATCGACGAGGCACTGGCCTCAGAACTTAAAGTGAGTTTCATAACAATTTGTAATTTAATATTTATTAATAAATTGTATCATTTTAGTTGGCGCTCAATCTACCAGCTATTGGCCGATATACTGGAGTCGGTTTACTGTGTGTCGGTTGCATTCTTATAGCCGTTGGCGTTTTACTAACCATTAAGCGGAAATGGTATGGCCAAGCTGATTCAGATAGACTGGCTCTCAAGGATAACGAGGAAGCCCCAAAGGAAACGGAAGTATCAGTCAATGAAGTCGATAGAAATTTGCAATACATCAATTAATATAAACATTTAACATTAATAACAAACACATAAATGTGATTTCCAAAAAACTTGGTGTGATAAATAAGAATAATTTGTTTTTTTTCTTGTAATATAAATTGTTTACTATGCAAGTTTAAACTGACAATAAAATATGAAATAGTAAAGCATAAAGGTATTAAATTATTTTATTTTTAATTTAATTAACATCTTTGGTTTACTTCGGAAATCCAAAAAGAAATTATTTTATACTTTCCTATTCAATGAATATTGTTTTTAGGTTCATGTTTTCAACAAAAATTTGGAAAATAATCGCTAAAAATATAAATTTAAAGAAATTTAATATTAAAAAAAAATTTCAAACAAATAAATTTTAGGTAATTTCAATTGAGTCTTTACTCAACAAGTTAATATTTGTTAATCACAAAAAATTATTAAGTGACCAATCAAAAAATAGTTAACAATTTTTTTATGACAGTGTACTTATAAAGTATATAGCCCAACAATCGAAAACTTCATAATTTGAGTGAGTTTTTTGTTATCTGAGAAGGCAAACAATTTTAGCTCAACTCATAAAAATAACCTCTTAACTTTTTCGGTAAGTGTGAGTATTATAGAAAGCTTTAGGCGATAAACCGATCAGGATGAAACACTTAGAAATTCTAAACAATTTAAAAATAGAAAAATCAGCAGTTAATTTGAGGGGGGTCGTTGTGGAAATCTAATCTTGCACTCTTATTGTTAAAGTGGCTAGCATACCAGTTGCAAAAATCCATTGAAGGCGATGTGTTGCAATTGCTGCAGTGTTCGCCAGCAGAAGATCTGGGTCTTCACCTTGGGAGGCCTGATCCTGGCCATCGGGGTGTTCCTCGTTTCCGCCTGGCCAGCTGTATCCCGCCAGTGGATTCGCAGTATCCTGCCCTTGGCTCCCAACTCCTTCATCTACAATCGCTGGGTGACCACACCAATGCCACTGTACAGCACAATTTACCTCTTCAACTGGACTAATCCTGAGGATTTGAACACCGAGGGCGTTAAGCCCAACTTCGAGCAGCTGGGACCGTACACCTTCAGCGACTTCAAGGTTAAAGAAGATCTGGAGTGGAATCAGCCCGAGGTGACCTATTTTGGCAAACGCACCTGGCATTTTCTCCCCGACAAGTCAAACGGCTCGCTGGATGATATGGTTGTAGCCCCTCATTTTCCGTCTTTGGTGAGTCTGACTATAAAATATTGGTTGTGTTTTTAAGTACTAGAACTAAAGGATTTACTTACAAGAAAACTTCTTAAGAAAGTCCGATTTTATAAATTAATTAAACAATGACAATGGCTGAAGAAATAAATAAATATTTCTCAATAGCAATATTAATATTATTTAATAAACTGGAAAGAACTTAAATTAATTTCAAGATTATTGAAAAAGTGGATAATAAATCAAATTAAATTTTTGCAAATAAGATTGCTAATATAAAAATGATTTGTTTTTGTTTTGCTATAAGCCGCAGTTATTTAAGAGAAATGTAGTCGCATTTACTGAGCGCAATCCTGTTGATTTGCGAGTTCAAATCGAGCGTACCGAGTTTCGGTGCGACAATCCGTCACCACATCGAGTAATCCCCGCTAATCCCGCTATCCGCTTTAGACAGCTGCCTCGTATTCGCGGCGAATGCGCCGCATCCTGCGCAAGGTCATGAACTTTGCCCTGAATCGCGAGGGCGGTGCCACCCACATGACCCACACAGCAGGTCAGTGGCTCTTCGACGGCTACTATGACCATCTGCTGGACTTTGTGGAGCAGCTGCATTCGCCCCTGCTGCCGGTTTACAGCAATACCTTCGGCTGGTTCTACGAACGGAATAACTCCAAAACGGCCGAGGGAAACTTTACGGTGCACACTGGTCGTGGAGATCTCAGCCAGATGGGGGATCTCCTCCTGTGGAATGGTGAAAACACTACCGGCTATTATCCTGGCGAATGTGGCAAGGTCAATGGCAGCACGGGGGAACTGTGGTCGCCGGACAGGAAGTGGAACCAGCCCACCTCCATTTTCTTGTCCGATGCATCGCGTTTTTTAAACCTTTTCCCCAAGGAAAACCTCACCATTGATGGCATTGATGTCTGGCGTTATGAGTCCACCAATCTCACCCTCGACAATGGCCAGCTTTCACCGGACACTAAGTGCTTTTGCCTCGAGAATCGCGAGTGCCCCCGCAATGGAGTCCTGGATTACGGTCCCCCAGCCTTCAATGGTCCGTTCTACATGTCGCATCCGCACTTTTACCTCACGGACGACCTGTACAGGGAGAACACAACGGGTCTGCGACCCGAGGAATCCGAACACGGCATGTTTGTGATAATGGAGCCCACACTTGGCATTCCGCTGAGCCTGAGGGGGCAGCTCATGATTAGCACGAAAGTGGTGCGCGATGAGGCCATTGAGTGAGTAAAAACCTGGCTTATATTGAGATTCAAAAAATCGGAAAAAATTAAAATACTTAGTCATTTTTTCTAACGAAAAAAAATTTAAATTAGTATTTGAACTTGGAAATAAGGGTTCCCTTTTCACGGAGTTTTATGTTTTGAATCATACTTTATAGACGAAATTGGGTTTTGTTAGAATATGTAAAATATCATAAATTAATGAATTTAGACTATAAAATTCCTCATTGATATAGCAAAGCTTTAAATGGGTAGATATTAATATTTAATCAAAATGCTACATTTTTCTGATTATTCTTTATTTAGCTTATTCAAGGATGTGGCCTATGATCACTATGCGCCCCTATTTACCATGAGAATCCATGCGGAATTAGATGAAAGCCTTACGAGTTTACTTAAGGTGAGGTGAACACAATAATATATATTAAGTACCGAAACTAATACCTTTCTTTGACAGCTCGCCTTAAATGCCGCCATTATTGGAATGTATACGGGAATCGGATTACTTCTTTTTGGACTGACAATGATCACAGTCGGTCTATTTGTCACAAAGAACCACAAGTGGTACAACGAAAAAAAGTCCGTGGGCTGTCATAAAGAATAAGTGGGACACAAACAAGAAAGACGCACTTGAACCTGATAAGACTGTTAAGAAAGCCAACAAAGCAATAATCTCGTTAATCACAGAGGAAATTTTGGCATTGTTTAAGGCCATAATCAGTCGAAAGCTCTTTAAAGCTGGGCCATAAAAAATGCAAATTACGTGCCCGGCTAGATTATCCAATTTCGTTCAGGTGTTGCCCAGCTGCAGGCATCTAGAATTACACTAAATTATGGCCTTTCAAATATGCTAAAATTTATTAATATGTTAATAATTGTTTTTTGCTGTTCGTTCATGCTATGCAAAGAAGGAAGGGAAATATCCTTGAGCACGTAAGCTGCATACTTTATGGCGTACGAACTCTTTCACCAGGCAGAGCCGGCAAATACCGAACTGGAAATTTGAAAAATGCCAAAAGAATATTATAAGCGACTAATTTATATGCACCAAGCACGCAAACTTACGTTTTGCACACACATTGTTTGTGGCCCACGAAAAGGACGAAGGAACAAGTTAAACAATGTATGAAAATATGAAAATTATATGACTGCCAGTATGTGTCGGCCATAACTTTATAAAAATCTCTGTGGGGGTGAGTAAACTGGAGTAATAAAATACATTGTTAAGGAATGGCCAGAAATAAATACAAATGTTTTATGTAACATAGTTAGGACCATAAAAAAACAATAAAAATGCACTTATCAATCATATAACTTGTATTTATATTTTTATCTATTCAAACCTTTGACAGTTGTCACAAAAATTTATAAAATTAATATATTTTTACAAATTTCTGAAAGTCAGCAAACAAGATATATTTCTCATTTATTACAAAGCACAACCAACTTCGTTTTTTGATCATAAACCATGCTGAAATTCTTGAATATTTTAATTTCCAAATTTAATCTTGACAAATTGCCAAAGCCTGTTTAAATAAAAGGATTCCAACATATTTATTAAAATTTATTTACAGCAAGCTTAGTTTATCATTTCTGTGTTCACTTTTCTTTTTAAATTGTTGGACATCTTTTGATTTACGGCCAAGCTTCTGTACTTTATTATTTATTTATGTGCATTTAAAAGACTTTAGCAATGAAGCTTCATTTATTTTTGTGTGACACATTTTCTTAATAATAGCCATTTTCTGGGAGTAATTCTGTTTCAATTCAGTTTCAATTTCTTTGCCTGCCCAGTTACTTTTCAAGGGTTGACTAAGAGTTGTTCCACTTTTGGGTTTCTTTTTTTAGTTGAGTAACCACAGCAATGTGCAATTGTGCGTAGAATTTTTAATGAAATATTTAACCAACGCCCCTAAAACGACAGAAGGTCAGCAACAGGAACATTTAATTTTGCAAAATTGGTTGTCAAGGTACGCAGTCTGGTTGACATTTTTATACTTTTTTAATGCTTTTAATACCCATTAATAATGTTATTTGGGTATCTTGTTTTTGTGATGCACTATATTATTAAATAAAGGAAAAAAGGCTTTACAATTTTGTTAATTGGATTTTGTTTCAACCAATAGTACATTTGATTTAAAAACGTGCTAAGTAACTATAGTTATCTTTACCTATACGTACAATATATATAGGCGTTAAATAACAAGTTCAGAACAGTATTCATAATTATAAAAGTAAGTTGAGTATACCATTTTTCATCATCTTGGGTAGCAACAAATATAATCTTTATACTTATCTTGGGTAGCAACAAATAGAATCCTTATACTCACCTGAGTTTGCTATAAAATTTTTAATGCTTCGGCGAGGAGAGAAAACTCTAGGCATAACAAGCAACAGATCGCGTCAGTGACCGACTTCATTATTTTGGCTAAATCCGAAAAACCAAGAAAAAAGAGCTTGAAATCCCGGATGGGTGAGGTTTGGGTTTGGGCATGTCCGTGTGATTCCATTGTGGCCTGCTGTCCGTTTATGTCGCGAAAACTTCGGTGTCCTAATCTGCTGCCTGACTTGCATACTAATTTGTTTGCTCCTCCTAACCCACCCACTGTGGGTGGGGAGCCCTCCCGTCCATCGACCTTCAGCTCGTTTGCCTTGCCTTTATGGTCCTTTGGGCTGCTGACAACCCGTAGATTATGTTGTTGGCTTTGGCTTGGGCCTGGGCTCCGGCCTTTGTGTGTTGGCCAAGTCTGAGTGTGCTCGGGTGTGAGTTGGCCAGTGTCATGTTGCCTTGGCTTACAGATTTTCCGGGGGTTCCCATGGACCGACTTGTTTGTTTATTTCTGCCGGCCGTCCATAAAACCCTGTTTAGCTGCTTAATTTTTTCCTTTGTCATGTTGACAGTCTCTCTCAGCTCAAGGACTTGTTCTGTGGGGTTCATTTTTCGCACAATTTAATGTTATTTAATTGGCATTTAAGTTTGTGCAAATGCTTGTGTTTCGAGCCGCGATAAGGCCGACATAACATTAATATTAAGGTCAGTTTTTATTATTGTCTGAGGTATCAGCAGCCAACTACATCAAATATTCACAGCTTATTGCTCTAAAAATAGCTTCATAAAATATTGCAAAATTTTTAGAATGCATGGAAAAGCACCAAGTGGTTTATAAAAACCTTTATGTTAAATTTAGCTGGCAACCTACCGCTAAATAAATCCGCTTACAATTAATAATTTGTGACATTTTAACTACAATGTTGAAACCACATCTGGCATTTTTGGGGAATTTATGTTACAATTTTCTATGCCATGTGCAATGGATCTGCCTGTATTTTTTATGTTTTGTTAGCAGCGCAAATTGCATTTGGGGGTTGACTTGGGTCAGATGTTACAAAGTTGACAGCATCAGAGAGGAAATCTGCTGCAAAAAAAATGCTTAAATAAACATAGACCATTTCGCGCTAACGCCAAAACAACAGAGGAAAAATTCGCTGAATACGAGAAAAAATTTTAAAATTCAATTTAAAAAACATTCCGGTATTGTTCTCGTTTTCTTTTTCACGAAATTGGTTATGGTTAGAATGGCAGCCAAACAATTAATGTTTATAGCTTTCAGTTGGATAATATTTTCTGTCAAAAACTCATTCGTGAAAACAGAAGCCAGTTACTATAGTTTTCAAATTAATATTAAGCAAGTGAATTCATAACTGAAATGGGTTAAATGAAAAAATAGCATGTAATAAAATATGGGTATTCTAGGTTCGAAACCAAAAACAAACTAAATATAGCAGCTATACTCTGTTTTTTATTTATGAGTTTAGCTTTCAGTTGGCTAACAATTTCCGGTGGAAACGCAGATCTGAAATTGAAAACCAGTGGCTATAGCTTAATATAAATAACCGAAGTTGGTTAATTGAAAAAACAGCATGTAATTAAATATGGGTGTACTTAGTTTGAAGCCAGCAACTAATTGAATATCGCAGTTATTCACTGGCTAAAATTCTGTAATTAAAACTGCGACTGGCCAACAACGATGGCTTTTAGCAGCTGCCAAAGTTTAAGCACGCATACGCAGTGTATGCCGAGCGTTCTAATTGCCTGCATTTATGAAGTGTCCATTAAGCCCGAATGCAATATGTAATGCAAACTCCATTCCCCAGCTGGCTTTGTAGTTTGGGCTATGACCAGAAGGCCTTAAGTTCTTTTGGGCTGGCAGAAAGCCAAGGGCGAAAAGATGGCCCAGAGAAAGTCCAAGATGCTGCAGCATCTTTTGCTCGTCGGGCAAAAACAATTTGCCCACGGGATAGAAACGTTAAGCTAGCAAAAGTGTTGGCCAGAAAAAAGAGACTACATAAATTCGAGAGGGAAAGTAGTCAATGTTGGAGCAAACGAGCTGGCTCACATTGTTTGGCATCGTGTCGGAGCATATGACTATGCATATTTGAAAGGCAATTTCCCCAGTGTTCGGGTCATCGATGCAAATGCAATTTCATTCTGTTTACCAGACACTTTACAATGTCCCCCTTTAATGCTGAATTTATCCCATTTCATATCCGTTTGGCCTTAGGCCCTATTTGCTCAACATTTGCAACAGCAGCTTGCATATGTTTTCCATCAACTGAATCGCAAAAATTCGCACTTCCGTGTTCGCTTCCGCCGAATTTATCGATCAGCCACCTGCGCTGCATGCTTTTAACACTTTTCGCACTTAAACCGCAGAAATTTTGTTAAATTTTCATTTAAAATACATGGCCTGGCAATTGCGGCAGCTGTGTCGGCATCAAAATGTCACTTCATTCCGCCCTCGTCCCCTTGAAAAGCTTTCGCATCCGCTCGTGCAGCCATGTGTGAAAAGTTTGAGGGGGTAACGTCGGGCTCTTTCTCCAACGGAATATCCAAACAAGTTACGCCAGTCCGCAATTATATATGTAAAAATCAACGTGGGCGTGGCTGTGGGATTTATTTCATTTAAGAATTCACTAGAGTGAGGTGCAAAAATTTCGGAATCATTTGGAGAAGTAGCTCAAAAATTTGAACACCAATTTCCAGTTTTCCAATACATAAATAAATAGTGATTGAGGGTCTATTTGTCTTCACACCTCCTGAATCTGAACCATTCCGTAATTTAAGAAACCAAATTCTTTATATATCTGTACATGCAATGAAATTCCATTGAAATTCACCTCTTATTAAAATATCAATTTGTCCGAAACTGTAAAGTGATATAAGAATACTCAACTGAGTATCTGCAAAAACGGCTTTTATTATTTTATCTAGTAGAGCTCAAATTGCCAGGGCAATACATTGTTCGGCATATATCAAAATAATAAGCTATGAATTTCTATCCACATTCCATTAAATCCGTTTCCCTTACGTATATTGGCATAATTGTCAACCACATGCCATTTATGCCACTGGGCTTTCCATAATTTATTTACATATATATACATGTGACTTAATGCCGGAGCCGGGCATTTAATTAAGGCAAATCCGTGACCATGGAATGTCCTGGCTCACAGTTCGAGTATCACTGCAGCATTTAATAATGTCAATTCCAGTTGACTTGAGTGCGTTGATTTAGTTAAGACAGTGGCTTTATTTATGCCAATTTACAGTTCTGCGGTCACTTGGACATACGCATCCTGTGCCCGGCGGACGGTGTAGGTCAGCTGGAAGCCCGTTTCGGAGGCACTCGTCTGCGAATCACTGGCAAACCGCAGGACGAACGGAGGACGGGCGATGATCTCCTGACCGGTCAGTCCATTTCCACAGTAATACGTGGCCTGCAGCCCCGGCCTGCCGACCATTTGGGCATCGGGAATGCCCAAGTAGTCTGATGCACGCAACGGGGTCAACACTGTACTGCGGCACTCGGTGTCGTAGGCAGGTCCTGGCTGCTCTGAGTTCGCCTTCGAAAGCTCGAAGTGGTCGATCTTGTAGCTGTGGTTTGGGAATACACGAAATATATCAATATTTTAACTGAGCAATTAGTAAGTATGATTTATAAACTAAACAAAAACCTATAAACACATAAACAATATTTTTAATCGTTAGCTCCTATTGATTATAAATTCCTTTTAGGGGTAACACATAATTAATATTTTTATTTTACTTAAAATATTATTATCTACTTTATCGAATGCATGTTTCATATTTAAATGTGTAAATGATTGTGGTTTAATTCTCTTAAGATCGGTGTTTTCAACTTGGTTTGTATTTTGGGGTAAATTATTCGTCATTTTTATAAACCACCCCTTTGCAAATTTTCGAAAAATGGCTAAGCCCATAATTTATCTGGTAGAGCACTTATGTAATAGCTATAATTACTTGAAATTCCTCTTGCTGTGATGAGTCACTCACCTTATCTCGCTGTCTGCCGCTCCCTTGACACAAATCGAGTATTTCATGTTGGGCATATAGATGCCACCAGCGAAGTTGAAGCTAACGATGCCGCCAGTCGTCGTCGTGAAGTACTGATCACAGCCCAGAGGAGCCAGCAGCTCCAGATCGGCCACCGAAGGCGAGGTCAGGGATTGGATGAGCTGGGCGGCGGGTCCAGAACCCGAACCGATTCCAGATTGCCCCCCGAAAATGGTGCGCGGAAGGAGGTTGCCCAAGAAGGGCAGGATCGGTCGCACTGTGGGTGACTGAACCTGGGGTTGTCTTACATTTTGGGAACCCAACTCCCTTGGGCACTCCAGCTGGGTGAGGGTCAGCTGCCAGGTGGACTGCTTGCCGAGTGTTGTGGCCAGCCGGAACACAAGCAGCAACTCCTGACCCCGGCGAATCGGGAAATACAAGTGCTGGCCACTGCTGCGACCGCACAGCCGGAAATGCCGAATCTGCAGATAATCGACGCACTCCAGCAGTCCCGAATTGGCATTCAACTGCGGCTGCGGCAGCTCCAAACGCTCGAAATCGACGCGCACCTGACACACCTGGCCGCTCCACGGCGCCACGCGAATCTGGCAAGTGTCCAACTTGGCCAGCTCACTTGTTCCCGGACTCGGATTGCGAATAACCAGACGCTTCTGGCGGACAGCCCCACTCGGCGCATTGCAGGCCACCTGACAGAGGACAGGTGCAAGTAGTGGCGAAAGTACGAGAAGAGTCAGGAGGAGCAGGGGGAAATCCATTTTGGCCCAATTCGATGGTGGCCCAGCGTTTCGATTGGGAAATTTTCGCTGTTCAGCGCTTTTATATCAGTTTCTGAGAGCAATTGTATCTCTCGGCAGATAACTGCCATTGACATTCGGCGATAACGACCGAAAGATGTTAGCTAGCGATAATGTATCTGGACTGGAAGTCCCTGGAAATTTCACACCGCAGTTATGAAATTTTTGAGAAAAGAAAAAAAAGAGTCAACTTCGCTTTTTAACTAAAGTTAAAAAAGTTTTCTTGCAGTTTTAGTGCTTCATTACAGCGGCAGAGGGGTTTTTGTTCGCTACTAAAATATATTAAATAAACTTACGTCTTCAGAACTTAAGCAATAATTTAAGGTATAAATAAAACTTCTCAGTCAATCGTAAATTTTTTATTTTCTTGGAAAAAACTTAAAAATCGTTTACCAAAAATTCATTAGCAAATTATTTTTAAACTTAATTCCAAGTTTTTATTGGTTAAAAAGCTTGAAATTAAATCTTAATCGTGAAGCCAATACTTACAAATTTTGTTTAAGAAATAAGCCATAAGCATTTAAGCAGTTCCGTAAAAATTGTCCAATAATTATAGATTAAATGCTAACCCACCTTCTGTAATTTGTCTCCCATTTTAATCACCATCAATGGACAACAAAGCCAACCCAACTTATCAACTTGAGTGGAATTTTACCCCCACTATCTATGTAATCATTATCGAATAAATAATGCGCCGGCAAGACATGCCAGGTATGCATGCAATCTTCCAGTTTCGCCCCCGCCTTCTTGCGACGGTTAACATTTGTTCGTTGTGACTTTAAGCCTTCTTCTCAAATAGGAATTCATTGCCCAAACGTTTTATCAATAAATGCCACAAGGAAGTTTTACGCACATTTTATCGCAAAGATACTCACACACACGGCGGAAGAGAGGCGTTTATGGCCGCCTTACACCATTTATGAGGTCTCACACTTACACACACAGCGAAAAGGACCTTGGCGCACGTAAAACAATAAAATTCGAGGCATTTATATGAGCATACCTTTGATTGTGTTTGAACAGGTTTGTGGGTGTGAGCACGTGTGTGCTAGTATCTCCACCCTCTCCACCAATTTACATAATATTTTGCGGCATAGGTTACCATTTTTTATCCCCGCCTTGTAATTAAAATTAAATGCCCCTCGGCCGCATCTATTAAATTTAATGTTAAACGCGTAACATGTGACAAAAAATACTGCCGAGGTGGCGTTAAAATTAAACAAACGACCAAATAATACTAAAATTGCATGCACAGCGCGATTAACATATCAACAGCGACAAAAAAACATCATAAACCAGCGGGGAAATGTTTCACAGCAAATTTCCAGCTTTGCATTTTCAGGCCTGCAAGTGCGGCAAGAACATCAACAATGCACACCATGGCACACATTTGCGTTCAAGTTTTAAAAATTTATGGCCCAAGTACAAGCCCAGTTAAAAAACAAAGCCAGTCGGCAAGCAACCTTCGAAAAAAAGTATAAAAATATATAGTGAGGAGTACAAAAAAAGCTCGTGCAGCCGTCGCATAAAAATGAAAACTATGTACTAATAAGCAAAAACAAGGTGGAAAAAATGAACAAACTAACGTCGTTAGCAGAAAGGAAAATGGGAAATGTAAATGCCGAAAAATTATCGGATTCATTTAAGGAACAGGGAATGCTCTTAAATTATTTATTAGCTTTTCGTTCCAATTGAAAAGTAACAAAAAATATTATTTTTCATTAAATTGCAAAAGGCTTGCCTGACTTGTGAAATAGTTCCTTAATAAGAAATATGAAATAAATACAAAATAATATTAAAATTTCAATGGTTTCATAAAAACGGAGAGCTATACTTTAATGACAATAATATATTCATGTATTTTTAGTTTAAAAATAAGAATACAAATTGTTAATTAATTCTTTTAATTTAGTCAAGTAATGACAATGAGGTATACAAATATTTAATATATTTTTCTAGACGTGAAAGTAAATAAATACTGGAATTATTTTTGAAAAAGAATGTTCAAGGATATGTAGTATATTTTCGGCATTACTCAACCCAAAAGCACTTAAATAAGTTTTATAACCATACCCGGGGACACCAGAAAAAGTTCGCTCCAATCCAGCACAACCACTCAGCCATATATTACCGGCAGACTTCATCAGCAATTTGTAATACCTACTTTCCAAGGGCATTTCACAAGCCAAAAAAAAAAAAGGCGAGGAAAAACACAAACTTTTGTTGTAACCGCAGCCACAGCAGCGCTCACGTATTTATGTCAATGTTTTGTTTTAGTTGTTGGCGGCAGTCTTGGCCACCTCCGACCTGGCCCCCGGCACACCCCTTCCGCCCTCTGGTTGCATGTCGTGCCCATTTGCGTTACCTTTGAACCCCGCCACAAAAACAAGAAGTGACGCCTGTTCAGTTTCGGTTCGGGTCGAGGCTCTTCGCTCAGCTCTCTGTTTTCCGTGCTCTGTTCTCGACTCGAGTCAGCTTTATGTGATCAACAACTTGTTTTGTTCTTGTTCAAGATGTATGCGAAAATTGCAGGGATGGGTTCCAAACCAACAGGAATGACATCAAACTACAAGAGCTGGACGTCAAAGCCATGAAAACAGAAGAAACACCAACAGAAATCATAAAATATAAATATTCAAAAAAAAAACTCTATTTTTAAATTTAAAGCTAGGAAATATAATACTTTTATCTTAAGGCCTTAGGTTTTTGTTTTATTAAATTTTTGTGGCCTAGGCCATGACTTTATACACTTTAATTGTATTTAAAGGTAAATACCAATATGTACCTAGGAAAAAATAAATTTAAAAAAATTATTAGCACTCTAAAAATAACAATCAAATTATTTGTATTTTTAAAAAAAAATTAGAAATATTTTTCACAGTGCAGGTGATTTGTGGAGGTTTCGGGGCAAAACGAAATTTATTCCTCAGCAACTTTTTTTTATAGTATTATTGCTGTTGAGTTTTATTTTATTAAGAGTGCCATAAAAATAGTATTACAATGTCCTTGCAACTCCAAATTACATTTGCAAGTTTTGTGGCATCGCTTGATCGAAATTTAGTGGAAAATGTAGCAGCTGGGCGGCGAAAAATGTGTCGCATAAAAAGCCAATTAAGTGGCATTCGATTGGTTTGCATAAGGCGCAGATTGCACGGCAACTCGTCATCCTTGGCAAGGGCGGGACACGCCCCAATCATAAATATAAACAACGCCACGGCGACGACTTTGCCATCTAAAATGGAAATCTACCGGTAACAAGAACATGCATATTTTCCGGCTCGTGTTGATTTTTCTTGCCAGCCTTTTCCTTCGTGTTTGCTTATCAAGTGCAAATGCATGCAACTTGCAACAGCAACTACGATTGCAACACAGCAGCAACAGCAACAACAACAGCAATAATAATATCAACAAACAGCGCAGATAGGCAGCGAAACAGCGACGTGTTGCTCCCTGTTGCCGTCAAGAAAAACGAGTTGTTTCCGGCACTCAAACACTTCTGATTGCAATGCCAAAAAAATCCAAAAAATATGCAGGAATATGCAGCACTTTTGTTGCCGGCACTATAAATTTAAATGCAATCGCATTAAGAGAGCAACAAAGAAACGAAAGGATACGTTCTGGGAAGGGATTTCGGGTCTTGGTAATTTATGTTGCATACTTTATGGGGTGCGATGGCATGTGAACTTGAACTTGCCTCAAATAAACATTTTGGTTCGATTTAAATTCAGTTCAATTTGGCAAATTGCTGAATTTACAGTTTTAAATATATTTTGCTGGGTTTTAATTTGAGAGACATTTCAAGATGACTAAGCATGACTTTAAATGAATGAAAACTAAACTATGTAGAAAAAGGTTACAAGAAATTGGGTCCAAAATTAACTTGTTTTTTTAGAGGGTTGTTAAACCAACATTGTCACAAAAATATATATTTTTTGCTCAGCTTCAAAAATTCTTATTTGTTTATTGTGTTTCTCACTTAGTTGCCCAATTTACATTCCGTTCGATTTGTCGAAATTGAAAATCAGCATTCGAGAACACTTTCATCTATTCTTGGTTGGATGGATGATGTTGACAAGAGCCGGAAAACAAACCGAAAACTGCATGTAAATAAGGCAGGCAAAAGCAAAGCTCGTTGATGATTTGAATTGCTTTCTTTTCGTTTGTATTTAATTTAATGCATTCTTGCCATCAACATCATCACTGTGATAAACTTTCAGCCAGTTGGCCATTGTTATTACTTTTCAAACTTTTCTCTCCAGAAGTCTGTGCGTTTGTGCATTTCTTTGTTGGGTGGGATAACTTTAAGCAAATAATAACTCAGACAGCCTTGAGGTAATGTTTAAGGATGCTGCCAGAGAGAATGGCACACAAATTAATGCGCAATCAACTAGCGGACTGTGCCACCCAAAAACCACTTTAGACAGCCGCCCATCCGTCAAAGCCTTTTACTGGCCCAACTTTGCCCCGGCTTATTTATGTGCGTCGGCTGCAGGAGCCATGAATTGACTTTGTGACTTTGGAGTTGGGCGCCATGCCAAGGCAGGACTTTCCCTCCCTTCCTCCTCTAATGTCCTCCACCCGCATAATGTGCATGACAATCTTTTCTTCCCCGCAATCCCCCGACTTCTGGCGGGGAGGAGACAATGACATTGTTGCTGGATTCGTTGCCACATGATGCACTTGATGCCAGGCGACACACAATATGTCTTTTGACTTCCGCAGACTGAAAGCCAACCGCAAGCCGCCAGATTGAGGATGATTTGAAAGCAATACACAGGGCACATCCCGCCATTGGCTGAAATGGAGGGAATGTTTTAAATTCCACGGGGATGCCTTGCAAATGGACGAAAGATGATGAAAAGCCTTCGGGAAAGATTTTGAGGAGCGAATTTGCCTGTGATACTCACAAATTAAAGGTGCTTTAAAGAGTATTCACAAAAAAGCGTAAAATTAGATGATTCCTTTACAAGATTTTGGTCCAACAAGAATAACTTAGCATTTTTTTTTAAATTTATAAATATTTAAATTTCAAAGTCTTACCATTTTCTGTCATTATTTTAACATTTGAACATAGTGCTATAGACTTCAAAATAACTAGAAATGTTTGACACCTCTCAGTCATACTAAAAACATATATTATACATAAATACCAGCTCCCTATTTTAATGGAAGGCCTAAGACTCAAAATCGATTGGGAAGATGATGAAGATCTTAAAGAGGAAAACACAACCTGTAAGCCCAGAAAACCCTTGGTCAACAGCATTGATTGTCGCGAGAAGTCAATAGTGGAAAATATAAACGCCGACCAAGATGCCATTTCGAAAATACAATATCTTAGTTTAGAGCATGCGATGCTGGACAAATATATAGAGAATCAGGAGCAAGATACAACACTCCGCAAGTATTTGGTAGTTGGCGTTCACTGGGTTTCTTTGCTGACTCAAAACGTGCTAAGCCATCCCTTTGTAGTATTGCGTTGGCAGTGTCAGGTTCATAACGCCTCGAAACATTATCATTTACAGCCCTTTAGTCTTCTGCCCAGTATTGTGCATTTGCATAGACGCCAAGGTCTTGGGACACTATGGAAAGGAGTGGGCAGCTGTCTACTTGTGCGCGGAATGTCCTGCGCCATTGACGATTGCATATCAAAACTTACCAGCTGGCCAAAAAAAGTAGAAGGTCGAACTTCTTTAAAGCGATTTGGACAACATGTTTTCCTGAAATGTATAAGCATCAGTTTGATAGTGCCATTTCACGTGGCTGCCTTGGTAAAAACTGTGCAAAGCGACATAGCCAGCGAAAAAACAGGGGTTTTAGATGTGATGCGGGAGGGAGGACTCCGACTTTTTCACTGGAGTTCCACGAAAAACAGCCAAATGCTACCTGCTTGGGCATTAATCGGTCCCAGTGTTTCGATTGGCATCACAAAATATCTCTTTAACTTGCTAATACACGGCGTATCCACACGAATGATGCGTAGGCGACTCACGTTTTTCCAGGAAAATCGAGGTGGAAAGTTTTGCGACAATACGCTGGAGCACCAAAATGCGGAAATATATGCCGGACTTATCGCTATGCTAACCACAGAGGTCATATTCTTCCCATTCGAGACTATTCTACATCGTCTTCAACTTCAAGGTACCCGAACAATAATCGATAATCTCGATAATGGCTATGCAGTTGTTCCGATTCTGACAAACTATCGAGGAGTCTTCGATTGCTATCGAGCTACAATTATTACGGAGGGAGTTGGTGGACTCTACAAGGGCTTTGGAGCGATGGTACTGCAATTTGTGGCCCATGTGGCTATTATAAAGCTGGCCAAATGGATGGTGAATCAAATAGCTGAGGGTATGTCCCATCGACCACCATCGCGAAAATTAAAGTATCTCGATTGTGTTTCAAGCAACAAGAGCTCTACTACATTATCGCCAAGCGTTTCTAGCACCGAAATGGAAGTGAACAGTGTCGGAAAGTATTCACTGGATTAGTCAAATCTTACTATTAATGTTTGTGTAAATTATTTCTAATAATATATATTTAAAGGAAAAAAAAACAGTTTAAGAAGTCTGATAAGTTGTTAAACAACTATATTAAAATTAACAAAGATATTATGTGAAAATTCGATTAAATCATCTCAGTCAAAGAAATTATTTTGACAGGAAATGCTTCTTTGTTAATTAAGGATTGTTACATTGTTATTAATTCCGTTAAAGATATTAGGTGTTTACGATTTAGACAAAATTAAGCAAGCATTCGGCGTTTAATCAAATATGTATTCATTAAAAGTCTGGCATCAAGGAGTCGCCCTCGAGCTATACACAAATGATTGCAGAATTAACAGGTCCACACGTCGTATGCGCAATGTATGCATGCCAATATTGGCAAAATACTTCGCATGTTATGCTAATTCATGTGTTGACTACTGGAAGCAGTCTGCTAATCCGAAAGGCTTTTTGTTTCTATTTATCTATGCAGATGTTATGACTAATTGATTTTCCAAAATTCTCCAATTGTTTGTTTGGGCCACACTTAAAAACGGCATAGAGTTGACCCCGATTATTTAAAATTACAATTTCCAATGATGTGCGGCAGATACTCGAAATCGCTGGGATTGCGTTCTTATGCTTGTTTGTGTGCACGTAATGCACATAAAGTTGCTGCTTCGTGCCCCCAGAAGCCGTAAAGCCAATTCGCAGGACAGTACACGGCGTATACTTAATACACACGTATGCAACGCGTGACTGCTGCCAGGCTCCAAGGATGCGAGCTGTGGCAAAGAAATCAACTTAAAATGTGCAAATTGTTTATACTGCCGACCCCTCTGCGGGCAAACAGAAACATACATATGTGCACTGGGATGGGTTAAAGTATGTGCCGGACATTGAATAAGATTAATGAAGGTTTTGCTTCTGGTGTTTCGGTTTTTTTTTTATTGTTTGGTTTCGGGTCGGCCGCCTGCTGCGGTATCGTGGTTGGACCGCAGGATGATGCCGTTGCCCCTGCTGCTAAAATATTTTTGCAGTCAGCCTCGGCCTGTTCTGCAGCAGCTGTAAATGAAAAACATATTTCAATGATGCATGCCCCGCAAAAACAACATTGGGCGGGCGGTTCCCGCTCGTCCTGGCCAACAATAAACTGGCCCAACAACCGGTTTGAGCCGGGCCCAAAAGAAGGAGACGAAGCTGGCCACAAACAACTGTCAGGGACATGTTGCGAAATGTGACAATTTTATTGGTCTGTCCATGAATTATATATATCAGGAGTTGAAACGCATTCAGGGCTGAAAATTATTCTTGGAGTGCAAGATGCAGCCTTAAAGAAAATTTCTAGTAATTTATTGCGCCGTAATTAGGTGACAGCATACAATTACGTTTTTTGGATTTTGCTATAAATATTTATTGAGTTTTTCTGAAAATTTAAGAAATTTTCATTTGACAGAATCAAGTTTGTAGCATTTTTTTAGCTTACATAAAACGTTTAAACCTTTAGTATACTAATTTTTAATTGCCATTCATAAGGTATTAATCATTTATAAGCTAATTAATTTTCACTTTCTCATTGTAAACTTTTTAATTCGTATGACTCTTTAAAAGAATCTTATATACCTTCTAGGACCAAAACCTAATTGAATTACAAGTAATTTTAAGAAAACTTTGCAAACTTCTTATCTTTTCCCCGGCCGCACTTCTATCAGCATTTGCAGCTAGAGCAATAAGAAAAAATACAAAAACCGTAAAGTAAGTAAAACTCCGGACATATTTAATTATAAATGCAGTTCAACTTTGCTAAGAAGGCGAGAGAAAATAAGAGAATGTGAAACTTGGGCATGAAGTACTCGAGGTAATCAGCGAAGCACAAGCTCCATTTCCTCTAAGCTATCTCCTCAAATTGCAATTTAATTAGCCCATTGACAGGTGTGCAGCATTTAAAAAAAAATGAAGTGAGTCAGGACTAAATGAAGTGTAATTCTCCACTAAAGCAAATGCGATATTAATCATCAGCTTTAAAACAAAATTCTCGTTATTCCCAGCAGCGAAACCTCAACACATTTTTTTGTGTGGCCACTGGCAGCATTCCATTTTTTAATTAACCGCCAGAGAACCGGGGACCCGAGCTGTGGAACCCCGGAGACCCGGCTGTCAGTTCACCTGGATGTAGAGTTATGTTGACATTTGCCACCGCCGTCATGCGACATTTTGAATACGTCCCGGCAGCCAATTTGCCCGAGTCGAGAGTGTGGCAAGGGTTGTGTGTGTGTGTACGAGTACCCCTGACAGCTGTTGCTCGAGTAGTTTTTAAGTAGCTGCTAATGAGTCGCTAACTTGCAGGCGGACAACTTTCAAGAGACAATTTTCTTACGGCACTACATAGTTTCGTACTTCATTTTCTTGAATCAGAGATTGCTCGTTGAAGTGTCGGAAAATTCTGACGACAGTTTATGTTTCCTGCAGGCCTTTTTGTTTGGATCTCGGTTTTTATATTTAATTATCCCTCAGTTTTGCATATTTTGATCCAATCATTTTTATACCCTTGCAGAGGGTATTATAATTTTGGTCAAAAGTGTGCAACGCAGTGAAGGAGACATCTCCGACCCTATAAAGTATATATATTCTTGATCAGGATCACCTCCTGAGTTGATATAGCCATGTCCGTCTGTCCGTCTGTCCGTCTGTCCGTCTGTCTGTTTCTACGCAAACTAGTCTCTCAGTTTTAAAGCTATCGAGTTGAAACTTTGCACACACCCTTCTTTCCTTTGCACGCAGTATATAAGTCGGAACGGCCGGGATCGGCCGACTATATCCTATAGCTGCCATATAACTGATTGATCGGAAATGCCATAACTCTGCTGTTTGTTAAGTTAGGAAGTTGGCACTTTCTGTGGGTTCTATATTTGGCCAATCAATCCGACGTACCAAATTTCATAAGGATCCGACGTACCAATCAATCCGACGTACCAAATTTCATAACTGATTGATCGGAAATGCCATAACTTTGGTGTTTGTAAAGTTAGGAAGTTGGAATTTTCTATGGGTTTTATATTTGGCCAATCAATCCGACCTACCAAATTTCATAAGGATCGGCCGACTATATCTTATAGCTGCCATATAACTAATTGATCGGAAATGCCATAACTTTGGTGTTTGTAAAGTTAGGAAGTTGGGATTTTCTATGGATTTTATTTTTGCCCAATCAATTCGACATATTAAATTTCATAAGGATCGGCCGACTATATCCTATAGCTGCCATATAACTGATTGATCGGAAATGAAATAACTTTGGTGTTTTTAAAGTTAGGAAGGTGGGATTTTTTATGAGTATTAAAAATGCATCATATGAATAATTTTGGAGAATATAATTTGCAGAATATTCTGCAAGGGTATTTCAACTTCGGCTCCGCCCGAAGTTAGCTTTCCTTTCTTGTTTGTATCTAATAAAGTACCTCTTGTTCAATTTAATTTTGATTTAAAAATTACCAAACTATGTTACCTTAAGCACCTTAGAGGCAAATCTAAAATAGTCTTAATAATAACTTAGTAATCTCCCAATTTTAGTTATAAACTTAAGTTCTTCCCTTCCACGTAATTCAAACTTAATTTAATGTGATTTTTATAATAATTACTTATTGATGACAAACTTTAAACTGTTTAATTTCGGCTTAAGACCGATTGCTGAGATAAACTCTTTCCCAGAATATTTTGCAACATTTTAATCTCTTGCTCGAACTGGAAAAACACGAAGACATCTGCTTGCATTTGCTGGCAGTCGTGTTTAAATATATGCTTGCATAACGCAGCCATCCTTCATCCCATTTCTCATCCGCAGAACAAAGTACACACGCCAGTGAAAATTCTCCGGGGAAAAAGGGAAAACGAGGCGAGGAACAATGGCTAACAATATTACGCATACGACACTGGTGCCCGAGTTTGCTTTTGGCCCCCTTCGGGCGTTACTGCCATCGATGGGAGGTCCAAAAAGGCGAAATCTGCGTTAAATGGAAGCGTTTGCGCACAATTATGTAACATCAGCGGTGAAGATTCGGTAAAAACGGGGAATGTTCGAAGAAGGTGATTTCATTTTTTATGCAGCTCTTTTCTTTTGGCGTTAAATTAAAACAACGAAATATAGCGAGTTTATGAGGTAAACACAAGGATAAAGGGCAGCTGAATCAGATAGCTTAACAGAGACGTAGAGATGGAGAACAGCGAGTTGTCTCCGTATAAATTCACACTAAACTGGGGATTTCAAATGGATTTCCTAAGGCTGAGGCAACAATGGGGACTCGGCATAATCGCCACCGACAGAAAGCGCAGCATCATCGAAGGCGAAGGACGAAGGCGACAACGATGACGGGTGACAGGATGGCAGGATAGTAGAATGGAAGGAAATCCCGGAGATGATGGGCATGACAGGCGGAACAAACGAGCCCGGCGTATATGGAGACGTACTCGCCGCACAGCTGTTGCAGACCCACTCCAACTAGTTTTCGTCGGCACTCTTTCCCCAATATCTACATATTTACCCATTCCAAGCCAAGTAGAAGCGTTATAAATCACATTAAGTAGATCATACTTTGCATATGAAATGCCCGATCCTACAACTTCTTCACTCTCCTTTTAAGCATTAAAGATTAAATTGTTTTTATTTCAAGTTTTTTTGTAAAGTTAATTAAATACTATAAAGTTTTTTTACAACTAATTTTTAAACAACCTTTTTAAATATCTTATTTTTATGGTCTTTCTTCAAATTCATCAGGATTACAATGGGCAAACATAAACTGTTCATTAAAATAATACAATTGTTTTTCTTCTTTTTTTTTTTCTACTACTACTATTTCATTTAATTTGATCCTCCTTTAAAATTTAACAACTTTTTAACCTCCAAAAAAATAGTTTAAAACTTTTTCAAAATGTAACTCTTAACTAGCTTTAAATTTTAAGCTTAAGCTATATAACACGGCTGCAAAAAAAATGAACTTACTTTTTTTAAAGTTCAGCTCAACCTTTAAAAATATATTCTGGTAATAAAATGAAAGGAATATATTCTCGCACACTC